GTATAGCAGTTATACAATTATAAACTTGAGGTGGGTGTCATGGTGGGTTCAGTGATGGTCAGTGTGGTGGTGGGTGGAAGTGGGCAACAAAAATAAAAATGTGCACAGCCTAGAAAACAGTTTTGCAAGCTGTGCTAAATAGGCCTTGCTTTTCAAAAACTGGTTACTCAAAATGCAGCTGCATGCCTCGCTGGTCACCAACACTCGAATGGAGACTGCAGCTGAAAAATCAACACTTTTAACAATCATGACACTCTGGAGACGCTCAGTTATGTTCTGAGGCTAAATGTTGCAGCCCAGTGAAATACTGTCTGTACTTTTCTTTCTTTTTCCATCTCCATTATGTCAGCGAACTGACTGACTTTTATATAGTGAAGGACAATAAGTGAACATTTTTTTGTTGAAGATGATTAGACAGTGTGAATGCTGTGTCTGTTTGTCCTCTGTGTTTCTGCATCTTTGTCCTTCAGTTCCTCCTCAGTTTATAGAGTGTGACACAGATGTAATGGTGTTAATTGTCCCTCTGACCCGAGTCTGACCTGCTGTTTGTTGTTGTTACTGTGGACTGTAACCCTCYCTCCCTCCTTCTTGTCTCACTTCCCTCAGGTTTCGCTCTGCTTTGGCTTCCCTGATCATTATGCTGATGCAGCTCTGTAGTTTCAAGGTCAGTGTCCCCTCCTTCCTCCGCCTTGCTTTTCCACCACAGTCACCATCCTCTGTCTCTATTTCATACTTTCGTTCATGTGACCCAGTAGGGCCATATTAAATCAGATTTATTGTTTCCTAAATTATGTTTTTTCCATTTTAATTTTCCAAATTCCACTTTTTTTCCTTTTCTTTTTTCTTCAGAATTCCACATCTTCATACTTATTGTGCAATTATAAAGTCTGAAAAATATTGTACCAAATAAAAAAACCACAGAATAAAAAATGTAACTGTTATTTCACTTTCAGAAAAAGAACAAATTGCCAATGGTTCATCAGAACATTAAATGCTTTTGCAAAATCTCTTTTTTAAAGAACAAAAAAATATTCTTTATGTGTAAAACATAGAATCTCACATTATCACGCCATCATGTCTCGTGGGTGGAAGCACGTGTTTTGTCAAACCCCTCCCCCTTTCCACCTGAGTTGCTGAACTCCACCGCTCTGCCTGTTTTCTGTAAAAAAACAAAAAAACAAAATGGGAGTGATTGTCTTTGTGGTTAAGAATGGAAAACATAAAGATATTATGAGGAAAAAAACTAAACTACAAATAACTCTTTACCACCCACCACCTGGTTCCTATCGTTCGTCTTAAGTAGCTGTTCAAAGGTTTGGATCATTTGTAAACATCACATCTCTAGCTCTAAAAYCTTGTGCTTCCAAAATATGATTTTTAGTCAAAGCATTTAGTCATAAAGTTCATATGGAAATGCATGTTGCTTTACACTTATACACTATAATTTTAGACTAATATACAGTGAAAATGAGTTAGAGCCATGTGGTCAAAGCTGAATTATGCACAATTTTGTGTCATATTGCAACACTTGGAGCATTTGTTGTGAACGGCTCTCAGCTGTAACCACTCAAACCTTTAGCTCAATGCTTGTAAAATTGACTCAGTCATTTTTGTAAAGGTTGATTAACTGTGGCAGTCATCTTAAAAATGTTTTGACTCCAACAGTGAATCAGTTGTACATTTACAGCCATTATTTACTTGCAGAGAGTTTCATTAAAATTTGTCAGCTGGTTCAAGGTTTGATTTAAAAATTGGTGCACAGCATGTTGGGCACAAATTATGGGATGGGTACAGCTCAGCCACACCAAATTTTTAGTTTTGTCTCAAAGTYGGTTGAGTTATTGCCCTCCTTGTGTTAGCTGTGGTGGACTCTTGAGTCCAAAAGTTGATCTGATGTTATTGACAAACCAATGATTATTTTCTGAAAGTGAATAAATGAATCTATTTGTTTGGGACAGTGTGCAATTAAAACATAATTTGATGCATTGCACCAGATTTAGCCTAAGGCTAATTTACATCTGTAGTCCCTTCAAACAGTAAAAACAAAACAACATCCAACAATATATGGAAATAAGAGAGGGGGAAAACCCCCCCAAAAACAAACAAAAAAAACAACACTGAAAAATAAAAATAATATAAAATAAAACATTTTGCAATTAAAAAAATACATAAATACCCCACCCCACTCTCCAAGCATAATTAAAAAGATATATCACTAAACATCCAATACAAAATTTGTGATTGCCTTAGTAAGTAGGTTGTGGTTTATGAGATATTTTGCAGTACAGGTAAATAAACAGGCAAAAACTTTGTCATTTTCATCAGAGAATGATAGACATAACCTAAAATTTCATGATAATCAACAATGACTGCCGCTTTTCATTAATTTTATGACTGACGGCAGATTGAGACAGACAGTTAGCTGGCAGGCAGCTGCTGCTGTAACTGACAGCCTTCAGCTTCCGAGTGAGGATGGAGGCTGACAGAGCCAAGCCCTGAAGCCAGTTCTAACTGGAACGGTCTCTGATCTGATCCCAGTAGACTCAACAGTCTCACAGCTGCATGTGATGGTAATAACACTGCAGCTCCCCACCATCACAGTTTACCCCACCATAACACACTCATCGGGCGACGCCACACAGAATATTTATTTTTATTTCTCAGGTCATTTTAAATGGTTACTAAACCGGCACTCTAATCAGGTTTATTCATATAAGCATGTGTTTATGTGTGACTATAAAACACCCTGACCACTGGAACAGCTGGTGAATCTGAATAGGACTCATCCATAATAATATGTACATACATTTAGAAACAGTAAACATAAGCTGATTAAAATATAAAATGATAAAAAGTGATTAGGTTCTTTGTTAAATGGCTCATTGGCAAGCAGTCACAAGTCTCTGCAACTTTTATTATGTGAGTCACAATCTGAAAAGCTTGGTTGTACAACAGACCCACAGTCAAACCCAGAGTGAACCTGAAAACCTGGTGGTGTCACTGAAGACAGTACAGACAGTTAACCTGAATCTTAAAGGGGGTTATGTGTATTTTCCAGGCACATAGTTCAATTCTATACCACAGTCAAGTAACTTACACTGCATGTATTTATGAATTACTGGCTATTTTAGTGTTTCAGTGTTGGTTTAGTGTTGGTCATAATTGAATTCCTCATGAATCATAACTCCTGTTTGCATATGAAGCTGTAACATACTGTGTAGAAGTGAAACATTGTTAAAAGTTTGAAGCATGAATGGCGTGACTGCAGGTGTGTTATTGACGTTGACATCACCTGGCTTCTTTGGTGTTAGCATCATCCAACTACACACACACACACACACACACACACACACACACACACACACACACACACACACACAC